CCTGCAAATGGTGTGCTTGGGGAAAGCAGCCAGACACAAAAGGACACATACCGTATGATCCCACTTACATGAAGCAGACAGCTAGTCACCAGAACTTACGAATAATTACCAAGGGTAAGTGAGGGGGAGGAAGGGCCATGTGTAAGGCCCCGAGCGTCGGTGAAGCAGGGCAGGACAGTTTAGAGAGGCTGGTTGAACTACGTAACGAATGCAACTGAGGCCACTAAACTTGTCCGTGTGAAAAAAATGCTCAACTGACAAATGTTGCTGTTATTACACAAATGAAAAGAGGAGTCGGTGCTTATTTTTTCACTCATAATTTGGTCAGAGAACCAATGGGTATACTGGGTGTGGTGAGGCAGCATGGAATAAAACGAGCATGGTTCCTGAGGGGAGAGATTTCACTGGACCAGCTGGTGAGGTACTGGCCCCAGCACGGCATCAGGGGGGCCATGTGGTGCAGGAGTCTGAACCAAGATGAGCAGAAGCTTGATGTACATACTCAATTTCAAAGAAAAGAAGAAGGTAAATATGCCAATGATTTTGGATATGCTGAGTTATATCAAATATGTAATAAATTAAATTTCACCTGCCTTTATAAAAATCTCTGTAATGTGGTTACATGAAAATGTACACTGACACACGACTTCCCTTTTACCAAGAGGTACCCCTCCAGATCCCTCTGCGTGAGTAAAGAGCTCCAGGAACGTAACACCTGTGGATGTGGAAGAGTGGTGGGGAAGGCTGGTGCAGGTGGTGCTGGCAGGCTGGGGAAGACCGGCCAGGCAGAGGTACTGGCCCTGTCAGTGTGTGTCAGGGCGCTCAGTGTAAGCAGTCCCCTCCAGCTCAAGGGCAGCATGTCGCAGAGTTCAGACCCCTAAGAAGTAGTTACTGGGGTCAGCCATGCTCTGGAAGGCCCACACTAATTCTGTAGACTGCTGCACCACAACTCCAAAAATGCTGCATTTTGTTGTCTGCTTAGACAACTCATCGCTTGAGGGACTTCAACACTGCCACATTCATTCTGGGTGATGCAGGGCTCCAGCTGCCAACCGAGAGCCTGGCAAAAAGCCTCTCACCCTGGAGGGCTCTGCCTGCCCCGGGAATTACACGGCAGCTTGGATACACCCCCACGTCCACTAGGTTTCTAAGTTCAAAAGTTGGAAAACAGTGTCACGGCCCCGCCTCTGAAGATAGTAAAAGACAATCCCCTCCCACTCCACAGCCTGGACCTGGGAGGGACCACGCCATCTGGTCTCTGACAGGAGAGAGCCTGGTGCTGGGTGGCATGGATGACTACTTCAGCCACTTCTGGGAAGTGCTGTTTGTAAGATACAATGGAAGAGTTGGGGTAGCCAACATTCTGATGGAGCAGCATATACATTAAAAAAAAAAAAAGCAAAACAAAATAACAAGATGTAGGTACATTTGGAAAATCATTTGTTTCATTTCAGTGCTTAGAAAAATAGCTGTTCCTTCAGAATTCGGTTGTTCCGTGGGATTTGCTTAGCTTGGCACAACCTCCACTTTCAACACCCAAAGCGTGGTTTGTCCTTTGCAATTGCGTCTTCGTCTTTGGTGGAGATACAAGGCATGTGTGGATTTCCAAATCCCACTGCAAGTAACACTCAACTCCACCAGGCAACCGTCTCCTAGCAAATTCTGGCTACATTTCTTGTATGGACAGCCCTATGTTTTTTCAGACGTTGGGGTATCTATGTAGTAGCTGGAAGGTTTCCAGAATGTTCGGACAAGTTCCAGCTAAGGCCCAGGAGAGGAGGCAGGGTGGGGCTCTGCAGGACCATCATCTGGGAAAATGAGTCACCGTCACCCAGATACGCATTCCCAAACCACTAGACTACTCGGGGGAAAGATGACTGCATTTAGAATACGATGGATGGCAAACTCATACACACCGAGAACAGGATAAAATATACTCTCTTCCATTTGTGGCTCTGTTCGCTTTTCATTCTTCAGCTGTATTAGAATGATGTTGAATTGCTATCTATTTGCACAATTCAAAACTCAAAAAGCACAGAAGTACAGCAACCAGTTTCCCTCCTGCCTGTGTGGCCCCCCCCTTACAGTTCCTCTACTTGGAGGCAAGCAATGAAATCAGTTCCCCCTGTGACCACCTTTCCCCCCAAATAAAGCAGGCTGCTATACAAAGCCAAAGCCTTTACAACATGCATGGGCTCATCTCGAAAGCACAGTGAAACCAGTAGATTGCAAGGAAAATATGGCAAGATTTCACTAATGTGAAATACCTAAAATAGATAGGTATTCCGGAGATAAGGGCTTAGTAGAGGTTACCAAGGTGGGAGGGAGGGGGAAATTATTGTTTAGGTAATGTCAAGTTTTTGTTTTTAGGGGGATGAAATAACTGGCTAAGGGGTCTGATTTGTTTTACTGACTTGTACAACTAAAAAATAGCAAATTGGAAAATGTTGTGTCCTCTGTATATTTAGCACAATAACTATTTAAAAAACCAAATTGAAGAGAAAATACACCACCTTTGTGGTAACCCTGCCTTAGGTTCAAACACGACTTTCTACCCACACTAACTGTGCTTGTGACCGTGGGTGGGCTGACTAATTTCCGTGAGCCTCCTTCCAGGTGACCGGCAGGGAGGGAGGCCCTGCCCGGGAAGTGCTGACGCGTGGCCTTGACGGTGGCAGTCAGGGAGCACGGGAAGCTGCTTCAATGTTCAGGGCTCTTCTGACACAGACTTCTTCATCACGAGATATGACGCTGCTCTCCTCTCGGTCTCCAGGAATGAGATTCAATCTTACAGGAGAAAAGCTGCCTCTTGCCTTGAACAGGCTCAATGTAAGATCTAAAATTTGGAAGTGTGTGAAAGAAACCATTTCAATTGCCATCTTACGCAGTAGAAGCAATGGCCTTTGTATTACAGCATATGGGAATGAGTACTACACGACTTTCTAAAACAAAAATGTGTGGCAAACAGAACACAAACACCTGCCATTTCACCTTCGTCATCTGGACAGTCAGGGACATTCAGTTGTGTCCAACAGGTTGTTCCACTGTGCCCTAACCGCCCCTCCCAAAGCCCTCCACCACAACGCTGCTTTCCATAGAAGAATAAATGCTAAGTGGGTGGTGTCTAAAGAACATAGCTCACCTTCTCATAATAAATGTTTAGACAGCCCAGAGCATAGACCAGGAAGAATGCCTAAAAACAAAGGAGAAAATACTCATTAGAAAAATAATTCCACATGAAATTATTTTACAGATAATTTCTTCATCACCAAAACAGTCACTTACTTTTTAACATAGTTCGCTCAAATTTTAATTAAAAAAAAAGAATGTCACAAACTAGTTTATTACTGACTCCCCCTCCAACCACAGACTCAGTTCTGACTCTCAGTGATCCTACATAGGGTTTCCAAGGTTGTAAATCTTGATGGGAACAGAGAGCCTCTGCTTTCTCCATCAGTGCTTGCTGCCGACTTTGAACCACCAAGTCCACGATTACCAGTCCACCATTCACCAGACAGTACCACCAGGCTTCCACAAACTGACTTAAATCAGTAAAAAACAAAATCTTGTATATATGTCCCATACTGAATTTTTTTCCTTAAAAAAACCACATTACTTAGTTGAAGACTCATGTATATATCTAAGATAAAAGTTTTGCTCCTTGGATCTTCATTTATAAAATTAAGTAACCATATTCAATTGGGGAATCTCTACTGATCTGGGAAGGAGAGGCAGGGTGATTTTGCTTGCATCAGAAACTGCAGTTGCTCAGCCATCCGTGCTGTGAAGCGAATTTTCATTAAGAAAGCCACGTCTGAGCTTTGGAGTCCCTTCAAGTCCACTCAGGGGCACCTTGGGAGAAAGGCCTGGGGATCTGCGTACCCTGGAAACCGTGAAGCACGCAGCTCTACTCCCTGCCGGGGGCTGGCATGGGAGTAGAACCGACTCCACTCCAACTGGTTTATCTTCACACAGTTTACCTGCCTGGGGGAAGCACGAGAGGCGGCAAAGAAAGGTGGCCCTAGTTCAGTAAAATCATAACACCTAAACAGAAATGAAAAGAAACGTCAAACACCAAATAGTCTCGTGCTATTTATGCGCTTGTCTGGGGTGAGCAGCTCGATGCATACACCCTTATACACTGGAGTGGCCAGCTGGTAGCTATTAAACCGGGCTCCTCTTCTTTAAAGACGAGAGTTATAGGTTAGGTTTAGAACACCGAGAAAGCAAACAAATACTCTGCTGCTGCTGACACGTCTGTGTGCTCCTGGCACGGGGTAGAAAGAGAAGTGTAGTTCCTTCCCCTTTCCTGGGTCTGCAGGCTTCTCGCACACAGCGGACACTTCCTCCTCGGTGCGGCCCTCCCTCCCAAGCCCAGCACACAGAGGAACAGAGCGCAAGGGAGCTCAGCCCGAGTAAACCCTCCCAGTAGCTAACAGGCCCTGCTAGGGAAACACCTTAGTAACCCCTCAGGAACTGGCACAGGCCACCCACTGCCATTTTCTGCCTGGCAAGCAGATGATGATTTTCTTTAGAGCAGTGGTTCCCAGCGCGTGTACGGGGAACCCTGGGGGCTCCCAAATTCCTGTCAGGAGGTCTCAAAGTCACAAGTATTTTCGGAATAATGTGTTAATGTGTTATTTCCTTCCCACGCTCACTCTCTATGAAGCTATGAAGCGGGAGAGATCACAACAGGTAGAATGCAGGAGCAGATGTGGGAATCCAGCCGACTTCCATGACGATTTGCAAACAGGAAAAACAGTGCCTCTTCTCACCGAGTTTCACTTAGAAAAATACAGGTGTTTTCATAAAAAATATTATTTCTGTTAACATATAGTGAGTCCATTATTGTTATTGTAAGTGAATTAATTTCTCTTTCACACTCTTCTAACATGTAATTTGATACACTTCAACTGATACGACCCATATCAAAATGTTCTTTGGGGTCCTTAATATTTTTTTGCGTTTTAAAGGATCCTCAGACCAAGATGCTTCAGAGCCACTACTTCAAATCTAGACCTAGGAGCTTCTCTGCTGATGGAGACGGCCAGTTGCTTATGTGCCGGCCCACTCCCCGTGCTGCCGCTGGCCATGCTAGCTGCTTGGACGCCCCTGGCTGCCTCCCGCCTCTCCCGGCAGCCCAGGGCACCTTCTGGACACACGAAGAGCACGCTGTGCTCTGGCTTCTCGTTCTGGTGCCTTCGAGTCGGCGCCAATGCCCACATGTATGGTCGGCAGAAAAGCTGCCTGGTCCTGCATCCTCTTCATGGCCAGTCATGTGCTTGCATCTAGTGAAATGGCTACTAATTATTAATATGTCCCCCCCGAGGTCTCCCCTCATATTTAACCAGCCCTCCAGCTAACTCGATGTCTTGTAGTGACTGGTCTTTTCAAAGGAGGGGTCCGGAGTAAGGTGGCTGAAGTGTCTCTTCATCCTCGCTTCTGAGGATAAGCCTGTGAAAGCTGTCCTGCTTGCAGCCCTCCTGCGCTCAGAACAGAGAACAGATTGCTTGCCAGACTGTGGAGCCCCTGCGGGATGCTGCTGCCACTCTTTCTAGCTGTCTTGGCTCCACTTCCACTCCCAGGGCACCAAGCCCGTTCTGTTCCTTCCCTGCCCTCTGCGTGGCTCTCGACTTCCACAATGCTTCGTGCAGGCCCAAAGACCGCTTCTCAGAGAGGTCTTCTCGACTCTGTTTGACATGAGTCCCTACCCTGATTATGTTCTTCACAGCCCTTACTGCTGTCTGAGAAGACCTACTTCCTGGGGTGTCTCTCACTGGAATGCACTTTATGAGAGCAGAAACTCTGCTTAGGAGAGGCTCTTGCACATAGCAAGTTCATAGATTGAATTGTGTCCATTCCTTTCTGCCCCCAAACATGTATCGAAGCCCTGGTGGCTGTACCTGTGAATGTGAGTGACCCTGCTTGGAATGAGGGGGTTTCTCCTGCTACATTAAAGAGCTCACACCTGAGCCCGGTGGTCCCCAAACCTAATCCCTTTTGAGTCGTAAAAAGAGCAGCACCCACAGAGACAAACAGAGAAGCCTGATAGAGAGAGATTATCTGTAAGTCTGGGGATGCCAAGGATTGCTGGCCACCATTAGAAGCTGAAATAGACACAGAGCTATTTCCTTAGAGCTACACAACCCGAATTTGGACATCTAGTAACCTGAACGATGAGAACAGAAACACCTTTCTTTCAAGCTATCCACGAGTGGTATTTCTGTTATAGCAGCTCTCGGTTCCTAAGACAGTGGGTGCTCAGATCTTGTGTTGAAGAACATGAAAGGGCATCCCTGGACCCTACCCTGGGCTTGGGTCCAAATGCCTTTGCTGCCCTAGAGCAGTCATTCCTCTCACAGAGGACACGCCCCGTCCTGTTTCTCCTCTCAGCTACTGCAGCAGTCCTGCCCAGGGTCTTACAACCCTACTTTCATTGAATACTTATTAAGACAGTGTGCACCTACTCCTTAGGCCAGAGCACAACCCCGACTCTCACAATGACCTGGTCTTTGGAACCGAGCCACTGTCGACAAGTGGTGTGGGTGCACCACACTTTCCAGGCAGATGGCAGACAGGACCGTCTTCCCGAGAGGGTGGTGGAAAGCCAACGTTTCCTCACACACGAGCAAGCCTTCTCGTCCTTTCATTTTCTCAGTTTGCGCTTCTTGGTTTGGACGGTGCGGTACACAGAATGAACTTTTGAGACGGGACAGACTTGGCTGCGAAGCGTCACCACTCGCCACTGTGATTAGCTCCAGTTGAGTCGGCTCCTAGACTCATACGGCGCGCTCATGACGCGAGAACGAAATGCTGCCTAGTGCGGGCCACCGCCATCATTAGCTGCAGACTACAGCCCTCGTGGTCGATAGGGTTTCCGCCAGCCGAGGAGTGTGGCTAGGCCTTTCTTTCCAGTGTTCGTCTAGAGAGGCTCTGCTGACGCCATGCTGTCGATGTGTCCAGTGGAGTTGGTTTCTACTTACAGACTACAGAGCAAAGTAGGACTGAGCCATAGGGTTTCCTAGGCTATAATCTTTTTTTTTTTAAACAACTTTCCAAACCATTTTGTTAGGAGCTAATCCAGACATCATAGCATTCCTTAGTTCCGTCCTGTCAGTGGTGTTGGCCAATCGCTGCCACGATCACTTTCGGCTGTATCTTCACAGGAGCAGGCAGCCAGGGTGTTTCTCCTGCAGAGCCGCTGGATGCCTTCCAGCCACCGACCTTCAGGAGAAGCTGAGGCTGACTCACCCGCTGCACCACCAGGCTCCTGTTGGCATCACGGCGATATGCATTTCTCCACTGGTCGGCAGTGGCTGCTCGGGAGTCTTGGCTGGGAACTGAGCCCAGGTCTTGTGCTGGGAAGGCACGGATTCTAACACTGAACTAAATTCTGACCCTAAAGACTCACGCTCTGTAAGCTAGGGCCTGCTAGTTGTACGGATCGGAATTAGCTTGATGGGAGTGTGCTGGTTTGGGAGTTTACACGTGTATATGCCTCATGTATAAAATGGGGATGGGAATGCCTTCATAGCTACTTTGAAGACTTAATGAGAGCAGCTATGCAAGGCACTTAGATGCTCAATGAACTTTTTTCCCCCTCTCTGCTAATGATTATTTTAGCAAGTACAGCCGGGAAGAGGTCATTCCTTGCCTGGCAAGAGAATCCTTCCTAGTATCTGAAACTGATCAATGTTTTTCCACTATCAGCAAATATACACTTCCCCCACAGAAGGAAACCAATGCCTCATTTGTTTTTTCCCCCGGTTTAAAGTGATGACGGTTTTTATAAAGCTCTGCAAAGCACTGTTAAGCTTCTATCCTAGATACTGAGTTGGATTTATTTGGAACTAATCATCAGCAGATGGAGCAGGAGGCCCATGGAGGTTGACGCTGATGCACCCTGAGATTTCACTCGGGAGACATTACTTTTAGGGCACCAGTAAGGAGGAGGAGGAAGGGTCTGATGATGGTGTTTGTCGGCAGAGCTCTCAAGCTCATCAGGGACCACTGCATCACGATGGAAAGAGGTATCGAAGGAACAGCGGAGCACTGGTCACCACCTGAAATCCATACCAGCACAGAGTCAGAGCAAACACATCGGCACACCCTGTTTACAACGGGTCTGGCTTACTTGTCAATTACGTGGAGGATGGCATCTTGTATACCCGAATTATAGCCCCAGATGTGAGCCAGAGGAAATACCAGGTTTTCTTACATGTTAGAGTCACTATGTGTAAAGATCGTTCTACTATCTTAGCAAAGGAGGATTTAGGTGCTGCAGACAGGGAAGTGCTTGGTTACTAACTGACAGAGGGGCTGTAACTGAAAGGTTTGAATTCACCCAGAGGAGGTTGGAAGGAAAGTCCTGGTGATCAGCCAAAAGGTCACCACCCTGAAAACCCTATGGAGCCGTCAGACAGACACGCGTCACCATGAGTCAGTATCAAATGGAAGCAACTGGTTTGGTTTATTTATGATATCTTTTATGACCAGGGATCACAATTTGGAGAGAGCGCATCCAGGTGCTACCAGGGCGGGAAAGAAGGCGAGAGTTAGGAATGGGCTAGGCACTGTCCACACACTGCTGTTTGGTTCTGACCCATAGCGACCCTGTGTACAATGGAACGAAACACTGCCCGGTCCTGCACCACCCTCATGACTGTTTCTATGCTTCCGCTCCTTGTTACAGCCACTGGTTCAATGCAGCTCCTTAAGGGCCCCTCTGTTTTCTGCTGCCCTTCCAATTTACCAAGCATGATGTCAAATAGCTTTGTACCAGTAAATAATGATAGATGGAAAAACTAGCAGGCACTTACCTTTATTGAGCATTTACTGTGCATCAGACATGAGCTACAGGCCTGATGATCTCATTTAATTTCCCCACCATCCCACTAATAAGGTGTTCTATCAGCTCCACTCTACTGAGACTGGAGGTTCAAGGGAGGTCAGAGAATGGGCTCCAGCAAGCGTGCTGAGGTGGGAGGGTCTTCCAACACGGAGCTACGGATACAAGCTGGTGACAGGTGTTGGAAATGTGGCTGCTGCAACTGAGGAGTGTAACTTTCAGCATGATTTCCTTTTAACTAGCTTAAAGGCAAATGTAAATAGCTACACATAGCTAGAGGCCACCACATATGACAATGTAGACTAAGCAGTCTGATCTGAAAAAGAGAAGGAATAATTCCAAATGCCTTTTCCTATTCTGGGGCCTAGCTTTGGTACTGTCGCCTCTCTGCACAGGTAGGAAGCACTGAGCAGGAGACCGAGAGCCTGAGGAGACACAGCTCCTCTTCGGTTGGCACAGCCAATCCACTCAGCAAGCACTTCTTGAGACTGACATAAACATCAAGTCTGGGGAGCTACCGCAGGAGCTGCCAGAGGCAGGATGGCTCCTGGAGAAGAGGCACACCTACAGGGATCCCCAGAGGCAGCGGGCAGCATACCAAGCACAGCAACTCAAACGAACCCAGTGGCTGTCAAGTCCACTCCTGTGTGTGGTGACCCATGCGCTCCCTCTGCCTTTCAAGGGCTGAGGTTTTGGAAGCAAATCACTGGGCTTGTCTTCCAAAGGCCCCCAGAGTGGGTGTCAACTACAAACCTGCTCGGCGCCTGAGCATTTCACCTGTTTGTGCTGCCTGAGGCCTCCCAGGGTATTGCCAAAGAGAGGATGAAGAGTGTGACCTCGGCTGCCGAGGTCCCATGAGACAGAGCAGAACTGCCCCAATCTTTACCAGCGCAGATAGCCTCATCTTTACCCCGGTGAACAGCTGGTGGATTTGAACTGCAAACCTTTCGGTGAGCGGTCCAACACTTAAGCTGTTGTGCCACCAGGTCTCTTGCATTAAGAGAACATATACTCTCAGTGGTTTTGCAAAAGAACTGCCTAGAACCCATCTACTTAACATCAGAAGTCACTACACGACTTGGATCATAGCTCACTAAAGACTGGTGAGTCTCTGACTACATTAACAATCACTGACTATATAATTAAAATGAGCTGTATTTTTAGTATTTGGGGTCTTAAAGACCCCAACAGCCATCTAGCTAAGAAGCAACAAAGCCCCCATGGAAGAAGCACACCAGCCTGTGTGATCATGAGGTGTTGATAGGATCAGATGTCAGGCATCAAAGAACAAAATATTCTATCATTGTGAATGAGGGGGAGTGCGGAATGGAGACCCAAAGTCCATCTGTAGGCAACTGGACACCCCCTTAGAGAAGGGTCACAGGGAGGAGATGAGCCAGTCAGGGTGCAGTGTAGCAACGATGAAACACAACTTTCCTCTAGTTCACAAATGCTTTTTCTCCCCCACTATTATGATCCCAACTTTATCTTACAAATACGGCTAGACCAGAGCATGTACACTGGTACAAATAAAGAGCTTGCAACACAGGGGATCCAGGACAGATAACTCCCTCAGGACTAGTGGTGAGAATAGTGATTCCAGGAGGGTAGGGGGAAGGTGGGGGAGGAAGGGGGAACTGATCAAAGAACCTACATATAACCTCCTCCCTGGGGGACAGACAACAGAAAAGTGGGTGAAGGGAGACATCAGACAGTGTAAGACATGATAATAATAATTTATAAATTATCAAGGGAGGGGGAGAGGGGAGGAAGAGGAGCTGATACCAAGGGCTCAAGTAGAAAGAAAATGTTTTGAGAATGATGTTGGCAACAAATGTCCAAATGTGCTTGACACAATGGATGTATACATGGATTGTGATGAGATGTACAAGCCCCCAATAAAACAATTTAAAAAAAAAAGCTGTATCTCAATAAGGAGCCCTGGTGGTGCGACAGGCTACGAATTTAGCTTTTAATCACAAGGTAGGTGGTTCAAACCCACCAGCCACTCAGTGTGCTATACCGTGGTTATGAGGCATGATTGACTCAACAACAATGGGTTTGATTTGGCTTAAAGCTTAATAAAACCGATATAAAAATGAGACCAGACAAACAGCTGACAAAAGCTTGCTGTTGGGCGGTGTCAGGCGGGTCCCGTCTCATCGATGTACTAAGTGAATCTGAAATCTTGATGTGAGAAGTGCTTAGACGAACGTCTCAAATCCTCTGTGCACTCGTGATACAGAGAAACCTTCTCAATGTCTGTTAGGCTATATAAATTAACCTCTTAGAACCAACAAGATAAAGGATGGGGAGTGAATTTCTAGCAGGTCGTCTTGGCAGCCCCCTATAGTGACTTCAATACTGCATCCCTCCCCCCCCTTACTGCAGGGTGAGGTGGGCTCATCTATACGGTGTTACCCAGGTCCCTGAGGTCCCAGAGACCAACAACTGTTGGTTACCCTGATGAACACTTACCTCTTCTAGGCTGAGCTGCAAATATTCAAAGATCCTGTATGGGTTTCTCCTGCACAGGAGTCTCTGTTTGCACCGACCAAAGAGAAGGAAACACAACCGATTAGAACAAATGGAGACACTATAGGTCATACAGAAGAGATTGCAAAAGATAATCTGCTCATTTCTACCCATGAATTGTTCTAGCATGAGACCATTTTGTTGGTCAATTTTTGTCGTTGTTGGTCAGTTTTATATGTTACTTCTTTTTTTCAGTCACTGACAGCTCACAAGCATAAAAACATTCTGGATAAGGTGTCATAAGTCTCATTCTAAAGGCTACATGATAAAATTTCACATACTAGTTAACCAGTAGACTGCTTCTGGCTTTTTCTATTATAGATCATTCCAAGGTGACTCTTTCTCTACCACCCAGCTATCAGATTACTGTACTGTGACAGCTTGCATGTTGCTCTGATGCCGAGAGCAATGCAACTAGGATTTCATAGATCCACAAAGTCATCTACTGTGGACCGATTTCAGTAGTGCTTCCAGACCGAAATAGACCAGAAAGACCTAGAAATCTACTTCCAAATATTAGCCAGTGAAAGCTCAATGGATCCCAACAGAACCTTGTCTGAAGGTGCTGGAAGGGGAACCACCAGGTGGCGAGGCGCTCAGAGTGCAGTGTGCACAGCAGCGGGCTCCAGCCGGACAAAGACGATGAGGCCAGCACAGGACTGGGTGATGCCGCCTTCTGCTGGGCCCACAAGGAGCGGGAGTCCAGTCAATGGCAGCAACAAGGCCACCATCTGTCTCTACAGCGAATCCCTTAACACAGCAGCGCTGACTCTGCTTCTCTCCCGATGACTTCCCTACACGGCACCTTTCAGGTGTCAATGACAGAAAGAAGACTTGGGCACCTGCTTGCATTCATCGGTTTTGGAGTGTAGTCATTCTCCAATCGGAAGGTGACACGGTGCTCACAGCTGATGCACCCCAGGACCAGTACCCAGTGCCTCCTGGCCCTCGCGCAGTGCCTGCGGCACGGGGCTCTGCACGAAGCTCACAGGCCCAGACACGTGCTAAATACTCGCTCTTAGCCACCAGTAAAGAAAGGACATCTGGTCAACCAGCCAGAAACAGGTGGTTTTGGGGGAAATACTTTGTTTTCTTCAACTCACTTCCTTGCTCGGTGCAGCCTCTCCCAGGCTCCCGTCAGCAGCCACGTGTTCCACAAGCACGTACTCATCGGCAGACAGGAGACCTGTACACTGGCCATCCTCCAGCTGAGAGCCTCGCTGGGGGATGGAGTCCTCATGGTGGCTGAGCTGTGCAGGGGTCAGGGGGGCAGTGTTATCAGGGAGTCCAGCAGAGTCATTTGCAGCTATGGCATCCTGCCTAGAACCCCCCTGTGGGCAGGCACAAGGCTGACTCAGGTCCTCTGTATCACTCGGCTCTCCAACATCTCCATTCACCACCGGAAGCTCCTCTCTCCCTGTTGGGTCTTCCATACTGGGATCCACTTCAGAGTTGAGCTCACCCTGCACTTGAGCCTCTTGGTACCTTTGCAAATAGGGGTGATCGAGCGGCTTGGTGTAATCCTGGAGGATGCTGCGCACGGCGCTTTCCTCCTGCCCTTGCCTGCGCAGAAGCTCTGCAGCCCACTCTACACCTCGCTGGTACCTACAAAACAAACAGGCAGTTAGAAACACCACTGGCATCTCCAAAGTTAAAAGACAAACTACACACACAAAAAGCACACACACGACTCCAAGGTCATCATCCAAAATGTTCACAGTATTTTTACTGAATGACGGGTGACAGGTGTTTTCTCCTTAACCTCTTTCTGTGACGAGAGAATAAGTGGCTGCCCATAAAACAGCAAGTTGTCCTCTAGTCCGGCCCACGGCTGCTGACACACAGTTAACAGAGCAGTCACTCCAAAGCCTGCAAAGAACCTTCTGATCGCTCTATGGACTAAAGCGTTGGCTCTGAGAGGCCTCATGGACCGAACCCCCTTGAAGTTGAGCACGAAACATGTGTCTGTGTGCATTCTCCTGGGGCTGGGATCCACAGCTCTCATCATATTCCTCAACTCAAAACATGTGAGAGCAGCCCTAAATTAAAGGTTCAAAAGCAAAGGAGCTGGCGCCAGGAGAGCACACACAGGTCACTGCTCTGCTTTGTACAGTCAAGGGGCGAAGGCAGACACAAGTTCAAGTCCGTGTCCCTCGTGTTCTCGCACAGGTGAACGGGGCCCTGCCTCATTCTCATCTGCAAACCAGGGACAGGAACACCCAGCTCCAAGGGCTGCGGCAAGAGGTAAAGCAGACGTGACAGGAGACATGCTCCCTCAGCCGAGACTGAGATGGGCTTGCAGAAAGGCCTGGCAACCTATTTCTGCAGGCTGGCAAATGCAGCCCGGTGCACCCCAAGAGTCTGAGCCACAAGCTACCATGTGGTTGGTGCAGGACTGGGTAGCATTTTGCCCTGTCTGTGCGGCTGTCACGAGTTGGGGGGCAGTTTGATAGCATCCAACAGGAACAATCACTGTTATGGGATGGCAGGAGAGGTTTAGAAAGAAAACAGTCACTCGTGTGAAAACACACTAAAAATTTTTAAAAGGTAACCTTATATAAGAGAAAATGTACATGGTAACAACTCGTCCTTGAGGGGCAGTGACGTGGGAGAGCAGCCCAAGAGGTAGGGGTTTGAGAGATGGCTCCTCCTCCCAACCCCTCTGTCTTTACTGTCAGTGCCAGAATCACACCTGTGTCCTGCCTCACGGTGACCTTGGAGGACTATGAGGGAAGTGCCAATGAGACCCTGCTGGGGAAAGCCTCTGACTCAGAGACCAGGGAATGCGGGCTGCAGAGCATGCATCCTCTCATTGGCCGGCAACCTTTCACGTCAAGTCCTGCTGGCAAGTGGAGGAGGCCAAAGAAAGAGGGTGAAGAGTCTAAGAGGGAAAGTGGCTAATGGAAAAGGTGGCAGTTACAATTAGCAGCAGTAAGGGGACCCATGCAGGGCTACAAGCATATCCAACAGTCCTGTCTACGTACACTGCAGGCTTCTCCCCCTCCACTAGTGGGGACTGATTGATGCTCACCTCAGGGAAGGGTTATGTGAATGGTCCTCATCACTTGAGGCCCACTGCTAAGTCCGTGTCATAACCACCTATTCATTCCTATCTGTTCCATGCAACCCTCCTGCTGCTCCGGGCTGGCTCTATCACCTGTCACTTCTTGTAGCAATAGACACTCAAAGAAAATCAGTGAGTGATCAAATGATACACACGGTGATTTTAAAACAAGAAGTTGGCAGTCAAGAGCTGGAGAGCATACCAACCAGGGTGCTGATGTAAGAAGGCGCTTCACAGGTGTGGAGGAGGAGGACAGGTTCCTCAGGGGCCCACTGATTAGTGAGCACAGCGTGTTATAGATCTTGCTTCCCAGTGCAACCTGATGACCCCAGGCTCTGGGTTATTCTGAACCGTCAGAAGGCAAAAGCCTCTTAGACTGTGTTTAATAAATAATGTTTAAGGAAGAAGATCAATCAAAAATTGTTGAACAGTTCTATCTTTGGGCTTCCAAAGGGTTCACCTTCAGTGATACGGCTCCCTGCCCCATCCAGAAGTTTGCCCATATTTTTGGCTGGTCTCTTGTGGGTGCCATTCTTACAGGTGGGCTGTAGCTGGTTCTGTACCCTCATCCATCTGCAGCCCTCTGTCTACACGACAGCCCCTCCTAGCATGGGGCCCTATCGGGGTCCTACCAGGCCCCTCCCACAGACGTAAATCCGACCTGACCCCCAGCCACACTGCAGGCATGGGGTCACTGAGCACGGGAGCAAGGAGGAGCTGTCGGATTTGGTCAGTCTGTGCCAGAAGCATGATGAACATTCACAGGCATTTTCGGGGGCTCCACGTACGAGCTGAGTCTTGGGCTGTAGCTGAAGGACAAGGAGGATTTGGAGAGCCGACCACTCAGTCAACAAAATCTTACCAAGGGATGCAGGGGCGAGCCAGGCATACTCCCCGAGAGTGGATCGTCTGAAAGGGGCAGGCAACGCATGACCCTTTATGTGCTGTATCCAAGGAAACCCACCCGTGCTCCGCGTGGCATCACACACAGTACCAAAGGCGACTCAGCGGGCACCAGAGGGGCAACACCCCACTCAGCTGGGGAGGAGGCAAGACGATGCTGGGCAGTGGGTGTGCTTCAGGTCCTGGGAGGTGGGCAGTGGGAACCCACCCATCGGTGCCGAGGAAGAAAGGCCTGGTGACTGGCTTCCACAAAGATGACAGACATGTGGGGTTGGCATGAACTGGAACTGACTGACTGGGTGGCTGAGTTTGGTTTTTATTTTTGGTTTGGCGTCTGTATTTATGGGGCTGGGGAGAAAGATTTCCAAGCAAAGGGAAGACAGAGTGTAACCAAAAGTCCAGAGGAAGGAATCATGACTGCATAGGATGGACGAGGAAGGGCAGGGCGCCTGGGAAAGCCTTTCTCAGAGCCCCTCGAGTCCCTTACCACCACTGGGTGCAATGCCAGTTCCACAGTGAAGGCACAGCCGCCCAGGACTTACGTGCATATGCAGCACAGGGCCACTGCTCAAATTTTGATAGAATTAAATGGGCAGAGGATTTTGTTCCAGATTATTGACAACAACAAGACAATGAACAAACCTCACTCCCTACACCGGAAATACTTCTTCATCCACATCACATTCACACATCATTAAAGAAAAAATCCACACATCATTTTCAAGGACACATCTACTACCAACATTTTAACATAAACAAACAAATAAATAAGAGGATGTGGACTGGCACGATCGGAAACAGTGACCCGAAAACAGATTTAATCTAAACCATAATTGTGACCAGAGCCCAAGTTCACCAGGACTTACTTCTTTGAAGTGATGATGGGCAGGCTTGTCCTCATAGCTGTAACAAAAGACAGAGGCTCTGTTTGTTCAGACACTGGACTGTCTAGAAAAGAGAAGTCTCAAGGTTCATAAAACTGCATGCCTAAAAGTTTCATTAATACCATCCTCTTAGCGAGCGTCTAGAGACATGCTTCACAAGCCCCTGGCCCCTCTGCCTGGACTCTGGCAGCAGCTAACCAATCTCACTGCTTGTCTGGTTGAGTTTAGAAGCGAGTTCAGAATCCTTCTCAACCCAGCACTGTAGGCCAACTGAGATGGGGTGCACGATGCAACCTCTTTGGCCGCCTCTGAATGCTCACTCTCCCAACCTTCAGGTGAGACTACTGCGGCTCC